GGATTCGAGGTTGCATCTCTTCCACAAACTTCTCTATCATCATTAATGGTAAGCCTAGAGGTAAAATCAGGGCCTCCCGGGGCCTTAGACAGGGCGATCCCCTCTCCCCTTTCCTTTTCATCCTTCTTGTTGACTGTTTTAGTAGACTTCTCTCCCGTGCAGCAGCATCTAATCTGACCAAAGGCTTCTTGGTGGGTCATTCCCAATTGGAGATTCATCATCTTCAATTTGCTGATGACACTATCTTGTTCTCATCCCCAGACAATGAACAGCTGACAAACCTTTTTTGCACCATCAAATCCTTTGAAGAGGCTTTTGGTTTGAATTCTAATCTCCTAAAGATCGAACTGCTGGGTGTCAACTTGACAGATACAGATATTGATATATTGTCCAACCGATTTGACTGTAAAAAAGGATCATGGCCAAATTCTTACCTTGGTCTCCCCTTAAATGGGAAGCCAAAAACAGTTTCTTTTTGGGATCCCATTATCGAAAAGATGAAGAAAAAGGTTAGCTCTTGGGCTAGCTCCCCCATTTCTAAAGGTGGACGGCTCACTCTCCTACAAGCATCTTTATCCAACCTCCCAATTTATTACCTATCCTTATTCGCCATCCCAACTAAGGTCGCGAAAGAGGTTGAGAAAGTCATGAGGAATTTCTTTTGGAAAGGGAGTAACAACAATCAGGGACAAAATCTGGTTCGATGGGATAGGATCACCCATCCCATTGAAGATGGAGGCCTTGGCATCACCAAAATTAAGGACAAAAACAAAGCTCTATTAGCAAAATGGATCTGGAGGTATTATACAGAAGAGTCGGCTCTTTGGAGACAGGTCATTGAAGCCAAATATGGACTGCTCAATAGGCTCAACAGCTCCCTTCACCATTCACTTGCTTCTGCCCGTGGCCCTTGGAAATCTATTTTACAGCAGAAACATCTGATCTTTGACAGAAGCTGCTTCAAGATAGGAGATGGATCCAAAACTATCTTCTGGAAAGATAGTTGGCTTGACCCTGGACCCTTATGTTCTGCCTTTCCCCTTCTTTTTGCTCTACACTCTAGCAAAGAGGCCTTGGTTAAGGACTTGTGGTCGGTATCCACAAACACGTGGAATCTTTGCTATAGACGGAATCTCAAAGATACAGAAATCCAAGAGTTTATAGAACTTAACAATCTGCTGTCCCCCATCCACATCAACAAGGAAGGTGATAAAATTGTTTGGAAGTTGGAACCATCTGGCCTTTTCTCTGTCAACTCCCTCCTTCAAGACCTACGCACCTCACCAACTATGCAGGAGGAAGCCCTGCTCTACAAATCGATCTGGAAGGATCATTACCCAAAAAAGATCAAAGTCTTTTTATGGGAGGTCAGTATGAATGCTCTAAATACCCATGACGAGCTCCAAAGAAAGATGCCGAATTTGTGTCTCTCCCCACACTGGTGAGTGCTTTGTAAGAAGCATGAAGAATCCTTGGGGCACATTCTTGTTTCATGTACATACACCACAAAGCTTTGGGAGAACCTTCTTTCATCTTTTGGCTGGTCTTTAATCCTTCACACAGATCCTCACTCTCTTCTATCCTCAACACTAGTGGAACCCCCCTTCAACAGTGAAGCAAAAACCCTGTGGAAACATTTTGTTAGGGCTCTGCTGTGGTCGACTTGGTTGGAAAGAAACCGCCGGATTTTCCATGGAAGGGAGCTACCTACTTGCAGTCTTTTTGAATCTATAGTGACTTTGGTTGTATCATGGTGCAAATGTTCCCCCATCTTTAAGCACTATAGCTTTGTCTCTCTTTTAACAAATTGGAGAGCCTTTTTGTAACACCATTGGTTTGGGACCTTCCCCTTTTGTACTTCCTTTCTATTTCATTACATTAATGAAATTTGTTTCTTCTCAAACAAAAAAAAACTTTCTAATGTTCATTTAATCTTTATGTGAAGGATGAATAAACCACCACTCAACACCACTCAACCCAAAGGCTTGAGCTGATGGTTGGGTAAATTTAATTCATATATGGATATCTCAATACTTTATCAAAACTATTACTTGATTCTCTATTTAAGAATATTTAGAAAACGAAAATGAGTAAAATATTCAATAAGCAATATATGTGATCATCATAATTTTCATTGACTAATATTTTCAAATACTAGAGTGCAAAGGGGCATCCTTTTATAGCCATTCAAAACAAGAACATATATTTGTTGCCTATTGACAAAATGAGATAGCCATTCAAAACAAGAACATATATTTGTTGCCTATTGACAAAATGATGCGCACTGGGTTATTGAAATAGGAAATAAGTACAACTAAGGGAGACTTGAGCGCTCCCTGACTCTCCCAAGGTTCTTGAGAACATGAAAATACTCAAAAACATACCTATGGTGTCAAGCACCCCCTTTAAATACTCTCTCTTGCCACACTCACAGTCACACGTCAGCCCACATTAGTGTAAATACTCTGGTCCTGCAATAATAATTGGGTGGTTGGGGCCTTAAGGAATAACCTTTAGGTCTTGGGTTCAAGCTACATGGGACGCAACTTCCACCAAGCGATGACTCCTTGCATATGTACGGGTATGGGGACAATGCACATACCCTCCAAGCTAAGAAACATGGACACATATTTTTGGGTGAAGTATCTGTGTCGGACACGTGTCAAACACGCATTTTGGCGTGTCTGT